GATTCTTCGATCTGAAAGCAGCTTGAAAAACCATACACTTGCAGTTACAGAATTAGCGTGGATTTATCCAGAATGAACTTTTATTAAGGTTCATTTTAGCCCTCCTTGATCTTTGGTACATTGTGAGAATCTGCAGGCAAGACTGTATCTTGAGATCAGCAAAACTGTGGCCAAGGATCTCATAAAGTGATTTTGAAACTAGTCAAGTAAGCAAAGTTTCAGGTGAGAGGGTGGAGTCAAAGGATAGTAGATCAAATCTCTCCATCGACTGATTTTTTTGACTTGAGCTGACAAATTACATTGAATAATTTCATGTGAATTGATTCCCAGACCTTTTGCCCAAGTAGACCAATAATTATAATTTTATATATATAATTATATTCTGACAATGAGAACAATCAACCGATGGAACAGATTGCCTTCAGAAGTTGTGGGAGCTTCATCACTGGAAGCTATATTCAGTATATAGCAGTATAAAAACAATCAAACGTATTTGCTGTAGAAAAGAGTTGATTCTTTCCAAATCAAATTGTCTGGAACGCTGTGAGACCTCCAATTGTTGAAATCAGTGGGATTTTATAGTTATGGTCTTCCTTGCTAAAGAATTGCTGGAATTGGGGATGTCTAGTTTAATGAAAAGAAGGACGAGGGGGGACATGATAGCAGCCTTCCAATATCTCAGGCGCTGCCCCAAAGAAGAGGGAGTCAAGCTATTCTCCAAGGCACCTGAAGGCAGAACGAGAAACAACGGGTGGAAACTCATCAAGGAGAGAAGCAACCTAGAACTAAGGAGAAATTTCCTGACAGTGAGAACAATTAACCAGTGGAACTACTTGCTTCCAGAAGCTGTGGATGCTCCATCACTGGAGGTTTTCAAGAAGAGACTGGACTGCCATCTGTCAGAAATGGTGTAGGGTCCCCTGCCTTGGCAGGGGGCTGGACTAGTTGACCTACAAGGTCCCTTCCGACTCTGTTACTCTATTACTGTCATATGTGATTAAAAAAAAAAATTGAGTCCCATTGGTTCAACAGGCTAAGTTAAATAAGATTGTCCAATTCATGGACCTGGACAGCTAATAATGTGGCCCCACAAGATCGTAAAAAATATAAAGACAATAAAGGGAGTTTGCGGTTTAAATATATTAACTGTATTATATATTTTTATATGGCCCAAGACTATTCCTCTTCACTCGATGTGCCCCAGGCAAGCCAAAAGGTTGGACGACCATGTTGTAAATGGATCTGATCTGACATGCATTTTCAAACGGTGGAGAAGAGGTGCATAAGTCCAGTTCTCTTCGTGACCCCATGGACCGTACTATGCCAGGCCCGCCGTCCCCCCACTGTCTCCCAGAGTTTGAACCAAATTCACGTTTGTTGCATCAATGACCCTATCTAACCTTCTCATTCTCTGGCATCCCCTTCTCCTTTTGCCTTCCATCTTTCCCAGGGAGTCTTCAAACTTGGTCCTTTTATGACTTGTGGACTTCAACTCCCAGAATTCTGGGAGTTGAAGTCCACAAGTCATAAAAGGGCCAAGTTTGAAGACCCCTGATCTTTCCCAACACCAGGACCTTCTCCACGGAGCCCTCTTCTCATTAAGAGGGCAAATTATTTGAGCCTTTAGCTTCAGGGTCTGTCCTTCCAGAGAACGGTCAGGGTTGATTCCCTTTAGGATTGACCGATTGGATCTCCTTGCAGTCCAAGGGAATCTCTCAAGAGTCTTCTCCAGCAGCACAATTTGCAAGCATCAATTCTTCCATGCTCAGCTTTCCCGTGTGGTCCAAGTCTCACAGCCATACATGACTCCTGGAAAAACCATAGCTTTGACTGTATGAAAAATGTCTGCCCTTGAGAAAAGGTGAGAGAGACAAGAGTGAGAGAGAAAAAAGGTCAGATGGGAGGCAACCACGACACAAGGGACCGTAGGACAAGGCTTTTCAACCAGTGGTACGGGTACCACCTGTGGTACATTGGCACCTGGCAGGTGGTACGCGACCATCCTAGAAAAGTGGTAGCGGGGGAGGGGAATGAGCTGAACCGGTGGCAGCACCACACAAGCCTGAGTGAGAGATGGCTGGAGCTGCAGGGCTGTCAGGGCTCAGCGGAAGCGCCAGGATCAGCGCCAGGCTCCAGCTGGAGCTCGGCGCTGATCCTGGCACTTCCGCTGAGCCCAGAAGAAGCACCGATCAGCTGGAATGTTGCAGCATCTCCAGGGTCTTGTGATTTACATTCAGAGGCTTGGCAACTGATTCATATTTATGACGGTCACAGTGTCATGTGAAGTGACCAAAACCTGCTGCAACCACCCAGCAGACGGGGGGAATAAAAACCACACACACCCCACCCCCACTGCCAATCCTCAACAGAAATGCTCGCAACAATGGAAACCTCAGATAGGAGGAAGAGCGCCGCCAGGTGGGCAGGCAGGTGCCTTGCTCGGCTGTGGCTTGGGGGGCACTTTTTTCAGTGCCATTGTAACTTCGAACAGTCACTAAGCGAACTGTTGTAAGTCGAGGACTACCTGTACTTCATCACCTTTTTCCTTTTTTGGGGGGTGTCATCAAGTTTTTCACACCTTGCTAGGCAACTGTTGGTACTCGGATATTGCCATATCCTAAAAGTGGTACAATGGGTGAAAAGGTTGAAAAGCCCTGTAGGACACAGAACGAAGCCTTAAATTACAGGAAGGTCAATTTCGGTGAGCTGAAGGGTAATTTACTGAAAGAGGTCAAAGAGCAGATAATCCTGTGTCAGGAATGCTTTAATCTGAATTCTTGGGACAGACTAGGGGGTGGATGTCATCATCTCAACATTCCAGTCCCACTCCAGAATTTTTGCAATGTTGATAAGAAAGCTTGCTGTAGACCTGGGTACATTTTCTGCGGGTTGGTGAGCTATTTCTTGTCTTCGTGGAAACGATTTTTGAAAAGGCATCTGATTCATCTCAAATTTGCACTGTAAGTGCGAATCTAGTGGAGGAGCAAGGTCTTCTGACTTAATATGCAGTACAACAGCTTTTTTTTTTTTCAGAATACACAGCATAATTTTCCAACATGCCCTGAGTTAGTAGGTAGTCTGGATTTAGGATTGATGTGCTGTTGGCTTTTGAAGACAAAGATAAATGCAGCCTCTATCTGCGCAAGTTGTCTAATAAGGCTGATGGATTTTTTGTTTCAGGTCCCTTCCTTTGTGGATGATTTCCAGAGAAGCAGCACCCTTAATTATTTGCATTAAAATGAGCAGAGTCTGCTGGCAGGCATGGCATCCGGCCCTCTCAATTCCTGGCAAATAGATGGGGAAGAAATGGAGGCAGTGACAGATTTTATCTGCCTGGGCTCCAAGATCACCGCAGATGGGGACTGCAGCCAAGAAATCAAAAGATGCTTGCTCCTGGGGAGGAAAGCTATGGCAAATCTAGACAGCATACTAAAAAGCAGAGACATCACCCTGCCAACAAAAGTGGGTATAGTCAAGGCCATGGTTTTCCCAGTTGCAATGTATGGCTGTGAAAGTTGGACCATAAGAAAGGCCGAGTGCCAAAGAATGGAGGCCTCTGAACTCTGGTGCTGGAGAAGACTCCTGCGAGTCCCCTGGACTGCAAGGTGATCCAACCGGTCAGTCCTAGAGGAGATCAACCCCGACTGCTCTTTAGAAGGCCAGATCCTGAAGTGGAGACTCAAGTACTTTGGCCACCTAATGAGAAGGAAGGACTCACTGGAGAAGAGACTGGTGCTGGGAAAGATGGAGGACAAGAGAAGAAGGGGACAACAGAGAAGGAGGTGGCTGGATGGAGTCACTGAAGCAGGAGGCGTGAGCTTCAATGGACTCCAGAAGATGGTAGAGGACAGGAAGGCCTGGAGGAATGTTGTCCATGGGGTCGCGATGGGTCGGACACGACTTCGCAACTAACAATTAACAACAAACGTTTTGTGAATTTTCATTTCTGCACATGAGTGGGACGCAGTTCTACCAGAGGAACATTATATATATATATATGTATATGCATAGCTGGTAGGAATGTGGGAAATGGATGTGGGGGAAAAAAAATAAGAGATGTTGAGGATTACAGGTAGTCCTTGACTTACAGACATTCATTTAGTAACCATGTGAAGTTGCAACAGCACTGAAAAAAATTGACTTATGACCGTTTTTCACACTTACGACCATTGCAGCATCTAAAATTCAGTTGCTTGGCAACCGACTCGTATTTATGACAGCTGCTGTGTCCAAGGGTCACGTGATCTGCTTTTGCAACCTTCTGATAAGCTAAGTCAGTGGGGAAGCCAGATTCACTTAACAACCATATTCCTAACTGAACAACTGGAGTGATTCACTTAACAACTGTGTCAAGAAAGGTCATAAAATGGGGCAAAACCCATTTAACAACTGTCTCACTTAGCAACAGGAATTTTGGGTTCAATTGTTGTTAAGTCGAGGACTACCTGTAATTTATTCCTTTGTTTAAAATACATGCCTATCCAGATCCTGTGGAAATTCAAACTAATGTGACTTAGTGGAAACTTCATTTAATCCATATTATAAGGACGACAAAGTAAAAAAAAAAAAAAAAAAAAGTGAGAGGCGATTCTTCAGAGACAGAACTGAAAGCTCCACGCAGAGTCCACATAAAAAAGTCCTTTTTAATTTTCCCATAATAAAGACAACAGGCTTTGTGGCACCTGGCCTCGCTGCAACGATCATTATTAGAAAAAAAGATAATAAAAATGTTAACTCTTGATTTAAATGCCGTCCGGACCGACCGAAACTAACAGGAGCACTTGAATGGTTCAAATATCTGGAGAAGGCTAAATGTTGAAAACCACGTGGCTTCTCTTAGGAGAAAAGGAACCCCAAGGGAGTAGTGGGGGGGGGGGCTGGAGGGTCCAGAAAGGTGCCTTAAAATCACTTGCAATTTTTTTTGTCCCTCTTCCACAGAGACCAGCTGGAGCAAACCACACAAGTCTGTGGATCCTTATTGAGCATCTCAAGTATTCAGTCTACTTGTCGTTCACGGGGGGATCTGGCCAGTAAGATATGGCCAAGTGTCTTCTCTTGGTATCCGCTTGGCATCCTGGGCACTTCTTGACAAGCTGTGTGGGGAAACACAAGAGCAGTCAAAATATAAGATAATATAAGATAATCTATATCTTCTATATAAATAAAAATGTAAATGTTCGTTTGTTCAAAATCTTAAATCTCCGAAAGTTCTTCACCGATTGCTTTGAAATTTTGACACAACGTTGCATTCGAATACGCGCGTGTTTCTATATACCTATTATATCGATGTCACACCTGTGACAGGTAAAAACATGCTTTTTTTAAAAAAACAGCGCCATCTGTTGGACGTAAAAGCAACACACACATTTACCAGACTGAGCCACAGCAACGCATGGCTGGGTACAGCTAGTATAAGATAAGATAAGATAAGATAACCTTTATTGTCATTTTTTTTTACTGTGGGCACAACGGCACACATCAAAAATGAAATTTAGTTGCCCGCTCTCAAAGTGAAACACATACATGACGCACACCTAAACATACTATGAACAACATATGCACAACCCACACCCCGACATATACGTAGCAAATAAATATTAAATACTGTCCATCTTGAATATATAACGGAAGGAGGAAGCTTGAGAGTTCACAAGGTTAATGCTGTATGGAATGAAACTATGGCACTTTCCCCTAGGATCCTTAGTCATCCTTGGATGCCTACACTGTTTAAGACGACGAATTAAAGTCCAAATTGTTTATTTGTATTCTGCCTTTATTATTTTTACAAATACTTCAAGGTAGTGAACTTATCCAACATGCCTTCCTCTTCCTATTCCCCCCCCCCAACAACAATCCTGTGAGGTGGATTGGGCTGAGAGAGAGGAAGTGGCCCAAAGTCATCCAGTTGGCTTTCATGACTAAGGCGGGACTAGAACTCCCCATCTCCTGGGGATTGGCCCAAAGTCACCCAGTTGGCTTTCATACCTAAGGCAGGACTGGAACTCACCATCTCCTGGCGACAGGCCCCAAATCACCCAACTGGCTTTTGTGCCTAAGGCAGGACTACAACTCACCATCTCCTGGGGATTGGCCCAAAGTCACCCAGTTGGCTTTCATACCTAAGGCAGGACTAGAACTCACCGTCTCCTGGTGATTGGTCCAAAGTCATTCAGTTGGCTTTCATACCTAAGGCAGGACTAGAACTCACCGTCTCCTGGTGATTGGTCCAAAGTCACCCAACTGGCTTTTGTGCCTAAGGCAGGACTAGAACTCACCGTCTCCTAGCGATTGGCCCAAAGTCGCCCAACTAGCTTTTGTGTCTAAGGCAGGACTAGAATTCACCGTTTCCTGCTTTCTAACTTGGTGCCTTAACCACTTGACCCAACTGGCTCTCCCACTTTAAACATTTAAAAGATGCTAAGGCTGAGAAATGCTGGCTTAAAGAGGTAATGATGCACAGCAGTAAGCTCTTGGAACAACAACAGCAACAACAACAACACAAACAACAACAAAAGTAAATTTCTGACTCAAAATGGTGAAACATTGTGGAACAATTTACTTTGCTCTCAAGAGTTGGCTGTGCATATATATATATGTTAGGACGTCAGCGAGGAAACCAGCTATGTTTGGAGAGAAGTAAGATGTTTAAACAAGAACCTGGATACTAAAAACAATGGGGAAAAGATGAGACATCCCAAGAGGTCAAAATAAACAGGCTCTCATTTATTAGTGGAATCCTTGGTGCTTTCTGAGCTTGGCGGTTTGCTGGCAGATGTTTCTGCAACAGTAGAACAGGGCAAGGGCAAACAAGCCACCCAACTCAGAGAGCACCCTGATCTTAGAACTTAGAATAAAAGAGTTGGAAGGGACCTTGGAGGTCATCTCGTCCAATCCCTCCACTCAAGCAGGAGACCCTATACCAGTGATGGCGAACATTTTAGAGACCGAGTGCCCAAACTGCAACCCAAAACCCACTTATGCATCGTCGAGTGCCGGGTGGGTGTGGCCCATTGGCTGGGTGTGGCCTATTGGCTGGGCATGGCTGCAGTGGTAACGGCAGACTGGGTGGGACTAAAAAGTTCAATCAATCAATTCCAACTTTGCAAGATCTTTTTTTTCCCCGCGAGAAGTTGAAATCAACTGAACCTTTTTTTTTTTTTTTGCACACGGCGGCGGCGGCCTAAAGCGAAAAGGTTTTATAAAACCCAGTTGAAGGCCTAGGACTGGGGCGACGGGGCGCGTGCCCACAGAGAGGGCTCTGAGTGCCGCCTCTGGCACCCGTGCCATGGGTTCGCCACCACTGCCCTATACCATTTCTAACAAGTGGCTGTCCAGTCTCTTCTTGAAAGTCTCCAGTGATGGAGCACCAACAGCTTCTAAAGCAGTGGTTCTCAACCTTTTTAATGTCGTGACCCCCTACCGGCCGTAAGTTGAGGACTAAACCGGTCGTAAGTCAAGGACTAAACTGGTCGTAAGTCGAGGACTACCCAACTGGTTGTAAGTCGAGGACTTTCCCTGCCCGGGAGCGCCGCGCATGCCTGGTTCCGCCCCCTGCGCTGGCCGAGGCATAGCTGGCAAGCGGCAGAGACGGAGCAGGCCGACTACCAGCTGGCCCAGCCCAAGGGAGGTAAGGCACCCGCCGGAAAAGGGGGAAAAAATGGCTGACAGCCTTGCTTGGCGACCCCCCGTGAAATGGTCGATCGACCCCAAATGGGGTCGCGACCCATAGGTTGAGAACCGCTGTTCTAAAGGCAAGCTGTTCCAATGGTTGATCGCTATCGCTGTCCGAAAATGTCTCCTTAGCTCTAGGTTGGATTTCTGTTTGTTAAGTTCCATCCGGTACTTCTTGTTCTGCCTTCTGGGGCTTTGGAGAATAGGTTGACCCCTCCTTTCTGGGACAGCCCCTCAAAATATTGGAACGCTGCTATCATGTCACCCCTGATCCTTCTCTTCACTTGACTAGCCATGCCCAGTTCTTGCAATGTTCTTCTTCATGTTTTAGCCTCCAGGCCCCTAATCATCTTTGTGGCTCTTCTCTGCACTCTTTCTAGTGTCTCAACAGCAACAACAATAGCCTAAGTCTCAGCTACTTAGGTTCTCTTCTATTGGTTTCATTTATTTAGTGATCTGGCACGCAATGAAGGTGGCTGCCAACGTTGAAAAGTTAATGTTCAAAGTAGGTACTTTAAGCTCATGACTAAACCACTGATGAAGGAGATGCAGCATGACATTTTTCCGAAGTGCCGAGGAATGTATTCTGTAGCCTGGGGACAGCAGACCTTCTTCCGTGTGCCAGAAGGACCACCAATAGGAGCATCTTCACGACTCCTTTTCTGGCAGGCATTAACAATCAGGCCGGCTTGTAGTGGGAGAGGCAGAGAGAGAGGCCCTTGTCCTTCAATGCCCACTGGGGAAAAAAGTCCATTGGAGTAAGCAGTCATACTATGTTTTAATTTAATAAATAGAAGAGCGTATTTATAGCTCAAGATCGAACTGTGGGGTCCTTGGTGCTCTCTGAGCTTGGCTGCTTTTAGGCAGCTGTTGCGTGACCCAGCCAGGTAACATCATCAGTGCTAGAAGGGAGTGAGGTTTGCAGAGTGAAGGAGAATGGGAGGAGAGGGAGGAGAACTGGGGGATCCTTGGGTGTTCTCTGAGCTTGGTTGTTTTCTGGCAGACAATTAATGATCCAACTAGGTAATATAATAATAATAATAATAATAACAACAACAACAACAACAACAACAACAACAACAGTTGGAAGGGACCTTGGAGGTCATCAAGTCCAACCCCCTGCTCAGGCAGGAAACCCTACACCATTTCAGACAAATGGCTGTCCAGTTTCTTCTTAAAAACTTCCAGTGTTGGAGCATTCACCGCTTCTGGAGGCAGGTTGTTCCACTGGTTAATTGTTCTAACTGTCAGGAAGTTTCTCCTTAGTTCTAGGTTGCTTCTCTCCTTGATTAGTTTCCATCCGTTGCTTCTTTTCCTGCCTTCAGGCGCTTTGGAGAATAGCTTGACTCCCTCTTCTTTGGGGCAGCCCCTGAGATACTGGAAGACGGCTATCCTGTCCCCCCTCGTCCTTCTCTTCATTAGATTAGACATACCCAATTCCAGCAGCCGTTCCTTATATGTTTTAACCTCCAGTCTCCTAATCATCTTTGTGGCTCTTCTCTGTACTCTTTCTAGAGTCTCAACATCTTTTTTACATCGCGGTGACCAAAACTAGATCTTTCCGTGCAGGCATCTGATGATCCCTCGTTACACTTGGTACCAACCCCAACCTCCAGACAATTGTGTAAGAGCACGCAGTACCACTGAAGCAGCATCTGCTTTATGTTACCTTGTACGGACAAGAACAGTAGATATGGCACGATGACCTTGTGGCTGGCTCTTACAATTGCTTATCTTAATCAGGAGACTACGCCTGGCAAAGCCTTGCATTCCCATCACACCCACTGGTTCTAAGCTAGCCTTTCTAAAAATAGTTTATCTTGGTATGAGAAACTTTAGCAACAAGACCAGTCAAAGGGATTATTCTGACCGCATACCAACCTCTGGTATGTGGGTTTCTGGTTAATGGTGATAAAGCATCAAAGAGTCATTTGAATGCAATGTTATGTCTACTTTGGCTTCCTGGATTAGCAATCTTAAGTCCCAAAACTCAGGACAGGCTTCTTGCATTAATTACCTCACAAATTCCCAAATCGCATCCAGCCAAAAGGCAAGGTAACCACTTGAGCCGTGGGCTCCCGTTTTCCCTTCTTTGTCTCCAATCTCAACATTGTTTGGGTTTCCTTTACTAAGGGGTACAGATTTGCTGGCACCACCAGAGCCTATTTTACTGCCTTCTGACCTCCCCTAAACCATAATGTCTGAGTCATATCCCTTCCCAGAAAAACAGCGGTCACAGTTCTGAAATACGGTTAAACCAACTTGAGGTTTGATGCTCCATGTTGTTTTCGTTCGCCCCTGTATTAAGGGAAAACAATGCCTATTTGAAGGAGCCAACTGGTGCTTTACAAGGAACACAAAACCTAGATCCTAAATTTATCCTACACTTCTTCAAGGACAATTTTCACAAGGAAGCATCTGTCAAAAATAAATAAATAAATAAATAATTGAAACATATACATCAATATTTATGAACTAACATAAAGTGTCAGGAAGCTTTAGGCTCCATTAATAGAGGGATAGAATCAAGATCAGGTGAAGTATTAACACCACTCTATAATGCCTTGGAATACTACATCCAGTTTTATAATAATAATAATAATAATAATAATAATAATAATAATAATAATAATAATAATAATAATAATAATAATAATAAAGTTGGAAGGGACCTTGGAGGTCATCTAGTCCAACCCCCTGCTCAGGCAGGAAACCCTGTACCATTTCAGACAAATGGCTGTCCAGTCTCTTCTTAAAAACTTCCAGTGTTGGAGCATTCACCACTTCTGGAGGCAGGTTGTTCCACTGGTTAATTGTTCTCACTGTCAGGAAGTTTCTCCTTAGTTCCAGGTTGCTTCTCTCCTTGATTAGTTTCCATCCGTTGCTTCTCGTCCTGCCTTCAGGCGCTTTGGAGAATAGCTTGACTCCCTCTTCTTTGGGGCAGCCCCTGAGATATTGGAACACTGCTATCATGTCCCCCCTCGTCCTTCTCTTCATTAAACTAGACAGACCCAATTCCAGCAGCTTTTCCTTATATTGATCATTGTTGATGTAAAAAAGATGTTGAGACTCTAGAAAGAGTGCGGTGAAGAGCAACAAAGATGCTGGAGGGGGGACTGGAGGCTAAACATGAAGAACGGTTACTGGAATTGGCACCAGAAGACAGAACAAGAAGCAACGTATGGAAACTAACCAAGGAGAGAAGCAACCTAGAATTAAGGAGAAATTTCCTGACAGTGAGATGGCATAGGTTCTCCTGCTTAAGTGGGGGGCTGGACTAGAAGACCTCCAAGGTCCCTTTCTATCCTATCCTATCCTATCCTACTCTATTTTTATGCTTTTAATATTTTATTGTATACCGCCTAGAATCCCTTTCTGATGGAGATGGGTGGTTCTTAAATACAATAGATAGATAGATAGATAGATAGATAGATAGATAGATAGATAGATAGATAGATAGATAGATAGATAGATAGATAGATAGATAGATAGATAGATAGATAGATAGATAGATAGATAGATAGATAGATAGATAGATAGATAGATAGATAGACAGACAGACAGACAGATGATGGATGGAAGATAGATGATAGATAGATAGATGTAGATAGATAGATAGATAGATAGATAGATAGATAGATAGATAGATAGATAGATAGATAGATAGACAGACAGACAGACAGACAGATGAGAGAGATGATAGGAGAGAGATGAGAAATAGACAATAACTTCTCTGACAGAGTGCTGACTCTGGCTCTTCATCTTAAATTAGACCTCTATTAGTCATTCCCAATCTAGAGTCAAATTGTTGACCTCACCTCTTATAATCCCCAACCAACTTGGCTTAAATTGACTATTAATCAGACTAAGTAGCTAAGGAAAGCTCATACAGTTCTTTAGGCTTGTTTTGGTGGATGGATTGGGCCACACGGTGACCTTTAACCAAACCTAACTTGTCATGGATCACAAGAACAAGCATCTTCTCAGTGGCATGCGCTCTCAATTGCAGGAAGATGCTCAAGTCACACACAAGGGGAGAAAATGTACGGTAAGAATGAACTGCAGAAATACAGCAAGGGAATTCTGCCGTGCTTTAAGAGCCAGGCAAGTTGGAGAATCTAGTGCAGTGGTGGCAAACCTATGGCACGGGTGCCAGAGGAGGCACTCGGAGCCCTCTCTGTGGGCACACGTGCCGTTGCCCCAGCCTTGCCTCCCAGCCTTGCCCCAGCCTTGCCGCGACCCCCTCCTCACCAGCAGCCCCCCTGGAGGAGAGTCGCCCCTGAGCGTGGCCCACGCGGAGCAGCGCAGCCAAGGACATGGCAGCCAGGCAGCGTAGACAAGACTCTGCCCTCACGCCCCATCACGAACAGTTGATACTGCGGGGCGCGGGCAGAGGGCATGGCCGCAATGGTGCTGCTGGGCTGCCTGGGCGATCTGCGGCGGGCCCTGGAGGTGATGAGTGGCCCCGCAGGCAGGCGGGGTAGGGGCGGGGCAGGGGGTGGAGCAGGGGCAGGGCCAGTTTTTGGGCACTCGGTCTCTAAAAGGTTCGCCATCATTGATCTAGTGTTTTAGGCACCAGACTAGAAAGTGGGAGAAGGTGAGTTCTAGTCCCACCTTAGGCACGAAAGCCAGCTGGGTGACTTTGGGCCCATCACCAAGAGCCTGGGAGTTCTAGTTCTGCCTTAGACACCAAAGCTGACTGGGTGACTTTGGACTGGTTACACTCTCTCTCAGCCCAACTCAGCTCACAAGGTTGATGTTGTGGGGAAAACAGGAGGAGGAAAGTGGGTTGGGTACGTTGGCCACCCTGAGGCATTTGTGAAAATAATAAAAGGCAGGGTACAAATAAATACATATACAAAAATAAATCAGCCGATGCAATTAAGACCAAAGGGAGGGAAAAAATGAAAATGAAAGCTGACCTTCAAGGAATTCTCCCAACATTTGTTGCAACACGTGAAGGAACACTGCTGGCATTTAAAGGGCACATCATGCTCAGAACCGCATTTAGCACACTTGTAGCCACCTAAACAGGGGAAAGGAAGAATAAAGTGGCTTTCAAGCCAGACCAATCCTTTGACCTTGCAGATTCTTTCTGCTGCTCAAGCACTTGAAACACAGATGACATGGCGGTCACACTTCACTTGCCAATGAAGGAGAATATCTGTGGCTCAGGGTTGAAATGCGGCCTCTTTGATGCTCTCTGAGCTGGGGTTGTTTTCCTGCAGACATTTCATTATCCAAACGAGGCTAGTGTTGATGTTACCTAGTTTGGGTAATGAAACGTCTGCAAGAAAACAACCCCAGCTCAGAAAGAACCAAGGACCCCCCACAGTCCTCCTCCTTCTCCTCACTTCCTTCTAGCACTGATGATGTCACCTAGTTGGGTAATGAAAAGTCCACAAGAAAATAACCCAAGCTCAGAGCATCAAGGACCCCCACAGTCCTCCTCCTCCTCCTCCTCACTTCCTTCTAGCACTGATGATGTCACCTAGTTGGGTAACGAAACGTCTGCAAGAAAACCAGCAAGCTCAGAGAGCCCCAAGGACCCCTCCTGCTTCACTTGCTTAAAGATAATTGTTTTCAGGTTGCAGAACCAAACAGAGGTTCATGCTGATCTTGGGTCTTGACCAGAGGGCCAAAATATGGGAAGATCTCTAGCGCAAAAAAGATGGCAATAGGTAAAAGCTACCTACCCATCTCCATCCAACAACCAGAATCAAAGGGAAGTTATGTTTTTGTAATTCAGCCAAAGGAACAAATATCAACTAAGACTGATCAGACAGGTTCTCAAATAGAAGATAAAAACTGCCTAGAGTCGTTTGCTGAGATGGGCAGCTATAGAAATCAATCAATCAATCAATCAATCAATCAATCAATCAATCAATTAAACTTCACAACAATATTCTGGCCTATCAGAATTTATTTTCTGCTTTTTCTTTTATTTCCTGTGTGGTTTTTTTTAAAAAAAAATATTTATTTTAATTTGTAGGACTTGATTATCAGCTAGTCTGAGAGATTTCAGTCAGGATAAAAAAACTGTAATAAATTATTTGATTACCTCCATTGCAAAGTGGTGTAATAAACTGAATAAATCCAAATACCTCAAATCAACTTCACAATGATAATCTGATCTACCTATAGTGGTGGCGGGGGGGGGGGGGAAAGGAAATTATTTTGATCCCCTGCTGATTTTGTACGTTTGCCAACTGACAAAGAAATAATCAGTCCATAATTTTAATGGTAGATTTATTTTAACGGTGAGAGACAGAATAATAACAAAAAAAAATCCAGAAAAAGGCATTTCAAAAAAGTTATAAATTGATTTGCCTTTTAATGAGTGAAATAAGTATTTGATCCCCTATCAATCAGCAAGATTTCTGGCTCCCAGGTGGGGGATTCTGGGATTTGAAGTCCACACCTTTTAAAGGTTGAAAAAATGGATTTAGAAAGAAGGGGACTACTTAATGAAAAGATACCCACCACCTATTGGAGAGAGAGGTAGGCTGCCATCATCTATGGATTTTCGTAATCTGCTGGGCCTTCTCTCCATTTCCTGTGGGTCTGGATTTTGGAACTGCTGTGGTGCTTCATTCTTGGAAGAATCTGCAGAAAATATTACACAATCACATTCCCAAGAACATATAAGACTCCGTTCAGACAGGGCTAGCTATGCAGCACTCACCACACACTCATGTGATACCTGTACAAACTCTCCAAGACAATTTGCTTTCATTATTACTTTAAAAAACAAAAAAAAGCAGAATTACAGAAATCTGATAGGTGAAATAAACCAAGGTTTAACAGTCTTGCAGAATTCCAGTTGACGTGATTCAGTTAGCCACTTCTGATCTATAGATATGAAAGACCTATCAGATGGGATTGTCAAATTTCTTAAATGTTTTTATAACAATAGCACTTAGACGTCAGCACTGCTAACATCGGATGTTTTTGCACTGACAACAGATGGGAGATGCTACCATTTTCTTCTTTTGCTTTTAGAGTTAGAGTTAGATGATGCTGAGGGAAGGAATGTGCATGAGAGTTTAGCTAGACATAACAATTCTGAACCTAGTGTGAGAACCAAGGTTATTGAAATTATAAAGAATTGGTGGGCTGGAGAGCTGGTGGGAAGCCAGCATTTCAAACTAATTGGGGAATGTGGTTTATGACTGTTAATTGAGGGAGGAAATTGTGCTTTGATACTTATGTGCTCAGGGGAGGGGAACTCAGTTTTTGGCTTCAATTATATATGTGCCGATGCTATGCTGCTCAAATAGAGATTCTTTAAGGTAAACAATGCCTCAGTTCTTCAAAGAGTCTCATCTGTCAGAACCATGACATTAGACCTATATATTGCTTCACAGTGCTTTACAGCCCTCTCTAAGTGGTTTTACAGAGTCAGTCTCTTGCCCCCAACAATCTGGGTCCTCATTTTACCAACCTCAGAAGGATGGAAGGCTGAGTCAACCGTGAGCCGGTCAGGATTGAACTGCTGGCAGCATTCTACATTCTAACCACTGTGCCACCAGAGCTCCTTTATGGTTTTATGGAGTCATGCAAGTGAGATGGGCAGTGTAGAGATTTGATAAATAAAATAAAATAAAATAATAAAAATAAAATAAAATAACGAGAGTCTCATGATATTTAGTCATCCCATTCCTTTCTCAGTTGAGGCTAACTAAAAGGGACTCCCGTGTTGTTATTGGTCCTCTCTCAGCCCAAACTCTACATCATATGCCTAATTTCTGGGCATCTCTACTAAGCTATTAAGCACAGGTAATAATAATAATAATGATAAAGTTGGAAGGGACCTTGGAGGTCATCTAGTCCAACCCCCTGCTCAGGCAGGAAACCCTATACCATTTTGGACAAATGGCTGTCCAGTTTCTTCTTAAAAACTTCCAGTGTTGGTGCATTCACCGCTTCTGGAGGCAGGTTGTTCCACTGGTTAATTGTTCTCACTGTCAGGAAGTTTCTCCTTAGTTCTAGGCTGCTTCTCTCCTTGATTAGTTTCCATCCGTTGCTTCTTGTCCTGCCTTCAGGGGCTTTGGAGAATAGCTTGACTCCCTCTTCTTTGGGGCAGCCCCTGAGATACTGGAACACTGCCATCATGTCCCCTCTCGTCCTTCCCTTCATTAAACTAGGCTGACCCAATTCCAGCAACCGTTCCTTATATGTTTTAGCCTCCAGTCCTCAACTTACAACCAGAACTGAGCCCAACATTTCTGTTGCTAAGTGAGACAGCTGGTGAGTTTTGTCCCATTTTACGACCTTTCTTGCCACAGTTGTTAAGCAAATCACCGTAATTGTTAAGTTAGCAACACGGCTGTGAAGTGAATCTGGCTTCCCCATCGACGTTGCTTCTCAGAAGGTCGCACAAGGGGATCACATGACCCCGGGACACTGTGACCGTCCTAAGTATGAGCCAGTGGCCAAGCATCTGAATTCTGATCATGTGACCATGGGGATGCTACAACGGTCATAAGTCTGAAAAACGGTCAGAAGTCACTTTATCAGAGCCGTTATAACTTGGAGCAGTCACTCAACCAATGGTTGTAAGACGAGGACTATCTGTGTGCAGCAGTGTGGTGTTTCCTTACGGAGGCTCTGAGCTTTTTTTTTTAGTCCACTTTGCTAATGTGCAGTAGGAGTTTGACTCATCATTCTGAAATCCGTGGGGCGTTCCAAGGTTTTATAGTGTCATGTTCTACAAATCCAGCTAATGAAAGAAAAATGTGTATTAAGAATGACACCAAAGTTTGTTTATTCGAAAGCTTCCCAGGAAGTAAAAACTCATCTCCGAGTATTCTGGGTTTTTAAAAAAAATATATATTTTCAAATTACGATGCAATATTTTAAAGATGAGTGTGGAAGTGCCAGTAAAAGAAGCGCTGAAATTGTCAGGGCGTTGTCGGGCAGCTTTATCCTGAATTTCAGTGTCTTCCACAGCGCAGCGTAAAAGTGCTTACCAAGGCACCGTTTCTCATTGTTCTCCTCTGGGAAAGCCATGCCAGTCAGTTCTCTGCACATCTGTAGGAACTGCTCCTTGTGATGCGGGCGGACGAAAGGGGCGAATCCTACCAAAGAAAGAATCAGCAGGTCACCATACAGGCCAATGATTTCCAAGGAAAAATGAGAACATGTCTCATCTTCTCAAACAAATGTCTGTGGAGATTCTCTATCAGCCAGGTCATGGCTGTTTTTTTTCCCCTAAAGGCAACTGGATTTTCTTCCTGTTTTCTTTGAAAGTGTTTTGCGCTTCTCATCCAAGAACTGAAGGAGTTTCTCGAGATGAGAAATGAAACGTTCTGAAAGAAAATACCAAGAAATGTTAGTTGCCTTTAGGGGGGGGAAAAAAAACACCCAAGGAAGATTTCTCAGCTCCATTTTTTTTATATAGTCAGAAAGAAAAATGAAAATAGGAGCCAAGCAGGGGAGGAAAAAGGGAAGAAGAAAAAGTGTAGGATAAAAGGGACAGAAGAAAAAAAAGCATTGACCTCTGACTCTCTTTGGCGGCAGTAGCATAAGATAATGAAATACAGCCTCGACTTCATATAAAGAAAACTCATATAAAATGTTTTATAGATGGCACTTGCCACCAGCAAGATTAGCAAAAATGTTTTAAAATATGTCAGACAGATGTTGGAAATGTAAGCGTAACTCAGGCACGTACTATCACATCTGGTGGACATGTGGTAAAGCCAAGGCTTATTGGAAAAAGATACGTGCGTGGTTAGAAAAAATATTAGGTGAACACGTTGATTTTAAACCTGAATTTTTCTTACTAGGTATGATGGCTGAAAAGATGAATAAGCAACGTCTGTATTTGACTTTACACATCACTACAGCAGCGAGAATAATCTTTGCGCAATATTGGAAGAATGAAGGAGTACCATCAGAGGAAGAAATAATCAGAAAAATATTGGAATGCGCAGAGATGGACAGATTAACTATGAGACTGAAAGATAAAGAAGACACAGATGACTACCAAACTTGGGACTTATTTTATTGTTGGTTAGAGGAAAGAATGAAGGATTAGGAATCGAGTATGTATTACAGTAGTGGCCAAAATTGTGGAAACCTTTTGGGAAAAGTGTACAGTAGAAATGCCACCTTGGTTAAGTTTCCACCCATTTTACTCCTAATTTCTTTATAACTGTAGCCTTGTTCACTTAATAATACTATTTTACATCGTTTTCTGGGCAACCAGTCAACTCTTTGCACCATGACTTTAATTTTATTACGTTTTACAAGCTCACTCAATGAAAGGACACAAAAAAACCCAACCGACTTGATAGCCATCACATAACACACTGACCAATGTCCTCCTCTCAGCTTCAATACATGACATCAATCACTGAATCCTGCTGTGATCTGATTGGCTCATTGCCAAAACAAGATGACACCTGATTGACTCTCTAAACACTCACGCTCATTGGCTACAATCAGATGAAGGAAAGCTACCTGAGATCAACCTAAGCAAGTTGTGCTTCCTTTTTCTGGTTATTTGGCTATAACCTTTCATAGAATACAGTACAGATAACTGTACAAACATTGTTGCATGACATTCTTGATTAAATTATCTTTCCATTGATATATAATTTTATGGTACTACTCCCCCAAAAAAGTGGTATTATTAGTCATCAAACCTCAAAAATACACTTTTCCCAAAAGGTTTCCACAATTTTGGCCACTACTGTAGCTAGCTGACCCCAGACAGCTCGTTGGTTGAAAACTTAATATATGTATGTAAAAGAAAATCAATAAAATCTTTATATAATAAAATAAAATAAAATATAAAACGCCAAATATTTTTTAAAAGAAAAAGAAAAAAAAGACGTACTAGAAAGAAGACATTAAAAAAGCATCTTAAAAAGGAAAAAAAAGACTAACACTCTTGCGTTTTTATATATGGATTTACTGTAATATTTGGTCAACTGGAAATCTTGCTAAGTAAAGACAGACCGTGTATTAAAAATATAATAAAAAGGATTAAAACAAAACAAAACAAAACAAAAAGAAATACAGCCTCAACTTTTACATAACACAGGCAGTCCTCAACTTACGACCACAATCGAGCTCAAAATTTCTGTTGCTAAGTGAGACGCTAGTTAAATGGGGTTTGCCCCATTTTTTTACTTTTTTTTGCCACGGTTGTTAAGTGAATCACTGCACTTATTAAATTCGTAATAGGGTTGTTAAGCAAATCTGGTTCCCCCCATTGACTTTGTTTTTCAGAAGGTCACAAAAGGTGATCACATGACCCCCAGAACCTGAAACATCATAACTAGGAGTCAGTTGCCGAGCATTTGCATTTTGATCACGTGACCAGGGCGATGCCGCAACGGTTGTAAATGTGAAAAATGGTCATGTCACTTTTTTCAGTAATGTTGTAACTTTGAACGGCCACTAAACGAACAGTTGTAAGTCGAGGACTACCTGTAGTATATACTAGCCGTTTCTGTAACAACAACCTATCTAAATCAGCAGAATTCACAGTCAAAGTTTCATATTTTTTTGTCCACCTCAAGCACAAAATCCAGAAGTGGTTTTCCAAGTGGAAACAAAGTCGGTTTTATTCTTTTCTTTCATTAGGGCAGGCAATTTCGCCATCTCTGCCAACTCCATCAGTTTTTCCAGCCAGTCATCCATTATAGGAATTAAAATATCTGTCAACGTTGCTAACATCGGATGTTTTTGCTTTGACAACAGTTGGAGATGCAGCCATTTTCTTCTTATGTTTTACTGTTAGAGTTAGATGATGCTGGGGGGAGGAATGTGCATAGGGGTTTAGCTAGACATAACAATACTGGACCTAGTGTGTGAACCAAGGTTATTGAAATAAGAGATGATAAGAATTGGCCGGGCTGGAGAACTGGAGGGGAAGCCTGCATTTCAAACTAATTGGAGAATGTGATCAGGGGACTGGAGGCTAAAACATATAAGGAACACTTGCTGGAATTGGGCATATCTAGTTTAATGAAGAGAAGGACAAGGGGGGACATGATAGCAGTCTTCCAGTATCTCAGGGGCTGCCCCAAAGAAGAGGGAGTCAAGCTATTCTCCAAAGCGCCTGAAGGCAGGACAAGAAGCAACGGATGGAAACTGACCAAGGAGAGAAGCAACCTAGAACTAAGGAGAAACTTCCTGACAGTGAGAACAATTAACCAGGGGAACAACCTGCTTCCAGAAGCGGTGAATGCTCCAACACTGGAAGTTTGGAGCTGACTGGACAGCCATTTGTCTGAAATGAAATAGGGTTTCCTGCCTGAGCAGGGGGTTGGACTAGATGACCTCCAAGATCCCTTCCAACTTTATTATTATTATTATTTACGACTGTTAATTGGAGGGGGGAATTGTGCTGTGATACTATGTGCTCAGGGAAGAGGAATCTAGTTTTTGGCTTCGATTATGTTAGTGCCGACGCTATGCTTCTCTAATAAAGATTCTTTAAGGTAAACAATGCTTCGAAGTTCTTTGAAGAGTTTCATCTGTCGGAACCATGACAATATCTTTCCATTTTCATACACAGAGCCTTCTTGCTGCTGTCAGCACATATAACAACAAAGTTCCAAATTGTTTTTTTCCCCAAGTTCTTTGTCTGTTAAGCCTAAAAGGCAAGCCTTTGGTTTTTATTTTATATTCGCTTTAAGAATCATCTGTATTCAGATGTGAATCTTACTCCCGATTTAAAACAAAGAATACTTCTCTGGGTGATTGTTTCCATCCAGCTGTGAGGCTAACAATGCCTCTCTCTCTGCAGGGTTTCCTAAACTATGCATTTAGATTTATGTAGAATATGGCTTTGAGAGATAAAATACAGGTAGCCCTCGATTTATGAACACAACTGAGCCCAAAATTTCTGTTGTTAAGCGAGGCATTTGTTAAGTGAGTTTTGCCCCATTTTACGACTTTTCTTGCCACAATTGTTAAGTGAATCACTGCACTTGTTAAATTAGTAACACGGTTGTTAAGTGAATCGGGCTCTCCCATTGACTGCTTGTCAGAAGGTTGCAAAAGGTGATCACATGACCCCGGGACATTTGCAACTGTCATAAATATGAGTCAGTTGTCAAGCATCTGAATTTTGATCATGTGAGCATGGGGATGCTATAAAGGTTGCAAATGTGAAAAATGGTCATAAGCCACTTCTTTCGCTGATGCTGTAACTTCAAACGGTCACTAAACAAACTGTTGTAAGTCGAGGACTACCTTTGATGTTGTTGTTTTTTTAAATGTGCTGAAATGACAGACTTACAGTCATGAATGGGTTAAAACCACAGCATCCTCTCTTGGAAGGGCGAGGTTGAAATATGAAAATATGAGACAAAATGTGCCTCCCTCTTCCAGACTGAAACCTAACTTTTCTGGAAAACTGGAGAAATTTTCTCCCCTGCAAAAAAAAAAAAAAGGTCAATATGCAGGGGGGGGGGAATCGGTCCCCAATGAGAGTTTCCCTGTAACTACAGGTTACACCATCCATTCATTCCTTAGTAAGCAACCATAACATTAGCAGAAGGAGGATGATAAATATCCTTATCTTTTTATTCAGCTAGTAAAAAAAAACAAACACCACAAACCTCAAACCAAAATATTGGCCCATTCCTTACTACTGTGAATCATCTGTTCCGAAGAAATTTAAAATGAAGACATTGTCAAACACCGAAATGGTCTTCCGAGAATAATGGCGAGCTGTTCCTTGCTGGAGATTTTCCAACAGGACTTAGGTGGCTGCTGGTTCAGGAATGATTTACTGCCGTGTTTCTCAACCTTGGCAGCTTGGAGATGGATGGACTTCAACTCCCAGAATTCCCTCCCCAGCCTAGCTGGTGGGGGGAATTCTGGGAGTTGACGCCCACCCTTTGTCATGGTTCTGACAGATGAAACTCTTCAAAGAGGCATTGTTTACCTTACAGAATCTTTATTTGAGAAGCATAGCATCGGCACTAACACAGTCGAAGCCAAAAACTGAATTCTCCTACCCTGGGCACATAAGTATCAAAGCAACAATTCCCTTCTCCAATTAACAGTCATAAATCACATC